GCAGGCTTCACAGCACCTCATGGATACTGATGACCGGGATTGTATCAACAAGAGCAAGATTGTATTTTTGGATAGAAATTTCAGAGGCAGAGTGAGGAAATCAGCAGTCAAAATACTTGAAAGCTGCATTATAATACCGCATGTTTCAAAATGCCGATTGCCTGCTATTTTGTGAAGAGATAAGTATGTTCCAGGGTTAATCAGATTTTGGCCATTATCAGTACCAAGTGTATTTCTTTTCTAGTTTTGTGATAGAAAAGAAGAAAATGCTCTCTCAATTCTTTTTAGCATGATTTGCACCATATGGTCTACTAAGTGAAGCCAGCAACTACTTTTACATACTACAGTTCTTTCACCGAGGCATTATTATCCTCTCTACGATGAAAGTAATTTTATGTCTTCAGGAGATGCTCATATTCAACAAAGCAGAAAGGCCTCTCTAGACTCAGTTTCTAAAAATAGCTTACAGTCTTTCAAGAAGATGAAGGATGAACCTTTCAGGGGATGAGCTTGATTATTCTGTTTATTACTTATCTGCATTTCTGGATCTTGAGGATCCTGTAGTAGTGAGCACTGGAAAATGAATTGTTTGGTGGTTTGGTTTTTTTTTTTTAAACAGAGCCCTCACTTGAAGAATCGCCAACTGTCATTCAACCTACAAAGCTGAAAACTGATCTGCAGCATTATCACGAGGCAATATGTACTGGGAGATTTTCAAGAATAAACCTCTTCCCTCAGGCAAAATGTCATGCTATTACAGAGGAAGAGGACAGTTCCTGTGGCTAATTCATAAATATGTCATTTTTGACCTGGTTGTCAAGGGTGATCTTTAACAAGGGAAGCAGTTTTCTTTTGGAAGAACACTCCACAACCTTGTCTTTGCACCTAGACTTTGTTTCACATCTATTGTAAATGAATCCAAAAGGTATTTTGTACAAAATGAAGCAAATAATGAAAGCGAATTTCTATTTAGAAAGTAAAATATATCACGATGGTTGCCCAGCTACACATTTTTATCCACTTAGCAATGTCAAAAACATTAACTCCAATTATCTAAGAACCCATTAACAAATTATTATGCTGTGGACATCTTTCTGGAAAAAAAGAAACCTTCAGGCTGCGATGTAACGTCTATCATGCTTCTTTCTTTGATGTATGATATTTATGAAACGCTACATGAGAGCCCCCCTTTTTATGGCAGCCCATCTGCAAGAAAACTGAAGATCACATGGGAAGCACTGTGAGAATATGGCACAGAGGACTGCAGACAGAATGCTATTAAATAGTTACTCTGCCTTAACTACTTCTGAGAGAGAGAGAGAGAAAGCCAGCGAGGTTTAAAGCTTTAATCTGATACACAAGCTCGTCAGAGCCCAAATCTATCTGTAATACTCTCCAAATCAGAATGAACTCAGAAGGATGACGTTCAATCTTTAAATCCTTCTCTGCAGAACTATTTTTAACTCTCAGGTTCATAAAATGGATCCCTGCTGTGGCTCTAGAGCTTTCTAACATGTAACCTACCTCTTATGCTTGACACAAGCACATGTTAGAATTCAGCTGCATTTAGAACTAAAAGTTTTCCTTGCATGATTTCCTGTCTAGCGTGACAGAAACAACTCAGTGTGACAGAACTCTACCATTGTTACTGGTGGAAAACAAATTATCTCCTCTCCTGGCCGCTGTTATTCTTTTCACTTCCATCAGTAACTCTAATTCTAATATTCTGAACACTTTTGAACAATTTTTTAATCTCCTTATTGTGCTTTCTTCTCCATAGAGTGAGGTAATAAGTAAGTGTTGCATAAATAATGTCAAATAAGACATTTTTCATACCTTGAAACATTTCCTTAAATATATTTATTCAGTCCCTTTCTAAATTAATTCCCAAACAATGCCAAAGGGATATTCAAATCTTTGATACAATGATTACTGTCAACTATAATTCACCAGCTTTCTAAAAACTCCTGTAATGAGTCAGGGCATTTCTGTTTTATTTTTTGCAAATCAGTCCATCTAAGCTGGATTAGAACTGACATGTCTGCTCAATTCTACGTCAATACGATCAAAATATACAATCATTTCGATTATCTGAACTGGGAATCATATAATAAGCCACAGTTGGTTCTTGGATTTCCAGCTGTGTGCAGTTCATTACAGTAAATGCTCATGAACTAGCACAATTTTTACCAATGGGAACGGATTTCTGTTATGACCTGAGGATATACACGTATAATATCCAAATGAAACTGCAGGCTATATTTGCTCCCTACAGCAATGAAATCTTCATTAAGACACTTCAATACATGTTCACGTAAATTCAGCAGAATAACATTTTGTAAACATTCTGGTATGAAAACAGAGCATTACAGTCAGGAAATTCTGCTAGTTTTACATGATTCTGGAAATCTTCACATTCTTCATTTTGGCATTAATTTTCTGCTTTAAGTTTTCCAGCAAATAATGTACTCTGGAATAATTTTATATTCTAATTATAGTTTGATGAAGGTGCATACTGAACTGACACTGAACCTGCACTGTCCTCCAGTGCTATGAATGATTTATTCTGCCAGTTCGCATCCAATTTTTAATAAAAATATCTATCTTCTTTGCTAACGAACTGATACCAGATTTAAAAGCTCTGGAGGATTTGTTTCCTCAAGGGCATTTCCCGACTTCAAAACTCACATTTAAAAATCCTTAACAACAATGCTCTGATTTTCTACAAATTTGGAGAAATCTTCTCATTCTGATGCATCCTTTGCATTTTGGCAGAAAGATCTACATCCGTGCGGTTTAAGAAACTGAGTTATTAAAGCTTATGTTCCAAAATCCTGTTGACTCAGACTGCATTCACTGATTTTGTTTAAAGGCCATCAAAGTCAATGGAAATACTCCCACCAATGAGTTTCAAGTGATGCCTTTTGAGACAAGGAAACCCAAGCCTCTAGAATCCCATGTGACACTTACTTCTGACTTCTTCCTCCTAATGTTTAGATCAAGATGACCTTGAACTACAGGAAGTCCTTGGTATATTGTTTTTGGAAGAATGATGAATGCTATTAACAGAACCAAAATAACTTTTTAACATTACACTTTCATTTTTCCTTTCATGAGGTCTTGGTTAGATAACCCAAAAGGAAAGAGACTGCACAAGAAGCAAGTGAAACAGAAAAACAGAAGTAAAAAGAAAAATTGAATCCACTGAGAGATCTCTCAATGATCTGCTCTGTGGCAGCAAATCACTGAAGTCTCCAGTACCACCCATCGGCTTTACTGCACTCTGTAACAGGCGACTAATTTCAGCTTGCATAGAACTTATCACTTGCCCAGTCAGCTCCTCCAGAATGGGATGAAATGCACCGTGTATCTCTGAACTATTAGGTCTCTGCAGAAATGACGACCTACTCCCAGGTTAAACCTCAGAAGAATACTTTCTTGATTTATTAAACCACCATATTCTTATTAAAAGCTAGCAAAAGAATAGTAAAGGAGGAACTCTCTTTCGCTTCATATAAACAGAAGAAATTTTCAACTAACAACAAAACAATGTACATGCTATCAGAAATAACATAAGGAAATACCCAACGCATTTTCCTGGAAGAATATTTATGATCCAAAAACGTTCTGTGACTTCATTATAATTCAAAATACTCTTTGTTACAAAGATTTATTTAATTTACTTTTTTGTTCTTTGTTTATGTATTTTCTGTAAAAGTCTCACTATTACTTATTCCAGAATCTTCAGTGAATTAGGAAATATACCCAATTTACTTAAATAAGGTCATTATTACTACATTTGACACTGGTAAAACGCATGCAATAAATTACCCTGGGATATCTGCTTAAAGTTAAAGAGGACATGCACTCACTATTGTAAGGGCATTAATAGAGAAAACCACTTTTAGCTCTAGACAGATACTAGTTTTTCCTCATTCTGCGTTCTGTATCAGTCCTAGGAAGTACTGACTAAATCTTAAGTGGCCGAAAGTAAGGCAGCTCTGCAATCCTGGGATAAAATGAAAAAAAAAAAAAATGCAGTGAACAAATTCTACTGGGTGAAGCACACAACAGAGAAGTGGCCAAATTGCCGTATGAAAACAGCCCAGTTGTAGGAGAAGGTTCTGACCGTGGGTAGGGTAAGTTCAGGTGACAGTAAGGGTTAGTGTTAGAAAAACAAAGGGGGTAGCCCTGATCAGCAGCAGCCCTTTTCCTGCATTTGCAGGTCTTCCAGCATTTGAAAGACACTGGACTCTGGACCCCTTACCTATACCGCAGTCCCACCCCAACCCAAACAGAACCACTGCTCCGGATCCTTTTTCCACATTTGGGAAAAACCCCCACATGGTGAGTACTTAAACAGGCTACTCTCAATTAGCAAGCAAGATGCTAAAGTCACAACATTTGATGGAAGAAAGGAAGTATTTATGTGCATGTAGGCACGCAGACACGCACACACTCACTCACAATCTACATCCAAAATGGCACGGACAGACTTGGCAAGGTCTCTGGCTTCTGCGGCAAGCGCTGTTGTGACAGTAGGTCCAATCCTTCCCAGCCGTGCAAGAAGTGCTTTAGTAGGCAATGTTGTTCTTCTGTCACTAAGAGAACAACACATAGTAAGTGTTTACTGTAAGACTATAAGAAATAGTTTCCTTTTAATAAAGTAAACTGGCGTTTCTAGATTTGGTCTCATTGTATGAACAAACCCGATTTACACTGCCAAATGGAGGAGCTTGCCTCAGAAGCAGTTCTATCTGTACAGTAAAGGTATGACAAAAGCTCAGTTCAAACAACACCCATGTCTCAAAATCTAGGGTCAAGAACTCAGTGGGTGTCAGTAAAGTAACTTAATGAAAAGTAATTTACATATTAGCATTTAAGAAGGGACAGCGCTTTAGGGGACCAGATTCTTATCTTCTATGCTGTTAGTGAGCCAGTTTGTCACCTTAGCTTTGTGGTTTATACTTCAACCCTTTTACTAAAATAAAGCCTACAAACTTTCTAAAACATGTAATATCGCTCTTGGACAGTGCCAATGGGAATTGAACTTAATTGATCAGGATTAGCATACGAGAACACAGACATTTACAATGTAATAGTTGATCTGATCCTGCAGATTTTTTTGAAATAGAGTTCCAGCTAACTTCATTTAAATAGATTTTAATTCTTTCGGAGCTTTACTGAAGAAGACGAGACACCAAACAATTTTACTGTTAAATAAATATTAATGGAATGCTATCTGGAATATATAGGCACAATCATGCTGATATTCTCAAGGCTGCTCTAAATCTTGTTGAGTATTCCTAGGTACATTTTTAAACAAGAAAAGTAATAAAACTTCAATGCATACACATGTTACCAATTTATTTATATGTTATAAAAACATTATAAACCACTGTTAAGGTTCCTTGCAATTTTAACTACTCCTTAGCGCATTATAATTACTTTATAGAAACATCCAGACAACCATAGCTATGTAATTACTAACTGTTTTAATTTAATTCTGAAGTTTTTAATGAAGCTGTATTCTGAAAGCCTAATTTATAGTTCATGCCATTGCCTCTACTCCAATAAAATGACATTCAGAAATATACAGGAAAAATATAGGAAAAACAGCTACAAGACAGCTTTTGGAGACTTTGAAACAATAGTAAGAGTTTTTCAATATTAATATTGCCATTTCAATATCCATAACTATGCCATTTCATTACCTTAAAACTGTCGAGGAAGTAGAGTTATCTGAAAGTATTTCATGCACAACCTGTTGGCCATAGTCAAGAAGTTAACAGTTTAGAAGTCGCCACAGTCAAAAACTTAGTATCTTATAATTTAATGTTTTATTTGGGTTTGGGGAGTTTGATCTGCAATCAAAGACTCTAGTCTCTCCCAGCTAGAAGCATAAAAGTAAAAATCAAAATATTGTAACTCCTTTAAATGAAATAAATATAACAACATCACTTGTTCTGTTTTATAACATTTCAAAATATTATCAAATATTACTTTTTCTGCCTTTTTCCTCTGGGGAATTTCTCAGAAATTCCTATGAGTTTGTGAAAAATTAGGTGAAAAAAAATTATATGATCAGTTTCATTTATTTAGTGTATAGCAAAACATAAGGATTAAGTAAATTCCTACATGGATCTGTACACTTATACACCATCTGTATTTCTAGCAATGAAAGGATCTCTGCAAGCTAGTTTATAGTCAGTTTACTATGTTTATTCCTCAGAAACATCAACACAAAACTTTTCCAAATAAAATATCCTCGAAATGAAAGGCAAAGTTACCTCTACAAATTGTAGCAATTTTTCAGTAGCCACCTCAAAGGTCTTCCTAGCTGATTCAGATTTCCGCAGCTGGCAGTCGAGCACTGTAATTCTCTTTCTCAAGTCTTGGATGTTATCCTGGGAAAGGTATTTCAAGGCTTTTATTCTAATAATTTTCTCCCATGGCTTACACAGATACATGGTGTGAACTGCAATGGATGTCTGAAATGTTTATCATACACTCTTCTACGTTTCTGAGAAACATCGCTGCTCCTGAGGCAGGTATGTGTGATCTGCTACTAAATCAGCTCCCGAACTGCAACAGATATTGGCAGATGATACAAATGTAAATTGGAATTGGCAGCTAACAGCAGTGAGGGCGCCGAAACTTAAAAGACAGTTTAAACTGATTCATGAATGGATGAAAAATACCAACCTGATGGCGACAGTATCCGCCAGCATGTGAACAAACCCAGTCCACTAGTCTGCATCTGTACAGCCTTTGGCCAAGAGAGTAATTATGGCATATCCTGGAGAAAATGATCCCCTAGGATCTCTCTACACGCACTTGTATAACCTATTGATCAGTGTCATGCATCCCTCTGTACTTCTAACGTGACTCCCATTAGATCAAGTTCTGGAGGCCCAAGGTTTCAGCTCGAGTCGCTGGCACTGTTCGTGTGAGAGGACCACGAGTAAAGTCTTCACACATACACGGGCACATTTGTTTTGCTAAG